CACTGTACATTGTTCACGTGAGCCTCATAGGCCTTATGATCACAACTCAAGGTGTCACCACTTCCTGCACCGTCGCCTTCCCATCGTCACTGTACACTGTACATTGTTCACGTGAGCCTTATACAGGTCTTATGATCTCAACTCGAGGTGTCACCACTTCCTGCACCGTCGCCTTCCCATCGTCACTGTACACTGTACATTGTTCACGTGAGCCTCATAGGCCTTATGATCTCAACTCAAGGTGTCACCACTTCCTGCACCGTCGCCTTCCCACCATCGCTGTACTCCGTACATTGTTCACGTGAGCCTCATTGATCTTATGATTTCAACTCAAGGTGTCACCACTTCCTTTCACCGTCGCCTTCCCACCCTCGCTGTACTCCGTACATTGTTCACGTGGGCCTCATACAGGTATTATGATCACAAATCAAGGTGTCACCACTTCCTGGATCGTCTCTTTCCCACCATCGCTGTACTCCGTACATTGTTCACGTGAGCCTCATAGGCCTTATGATCTCAACTCAAGGTGTCACAACTTCCTCACCCTCCCCTTCCCATCATCGCTGTACTCCGTACATTGTTCACGTGAGCCTCATTGATCTTATGATCTCAACTCAAGGTGTCACCACTTCAAGCACCGTCGCCTTCCCACCAATACTGTACACTGTACATTGTTCACGTGAGCCTCATAGGCCTTATGATCTCAACTCAAGGTGTCACCACTTCCTGCACCGTCGCCTTCCCACCATCGCTGTACTCCGTACATTGTTTACGTGAGCCTCATTGATCTTATGATCTCAACTCAAGGTGTCACCACTTCCTGCACCGTCGCCTTCCCACCATCGCTGTACTCCGTACATTGTTTACGTGAGCCTCATAGGCCTTATGATCTCAACTCAAGGTGTCACCACTTCCTGCACCGTCGCCTTCCCACCATCGCTGTACTCCGTACATTGTTCACGTGGGCCTCATACAGGTATTATGATCACAAATCAAGGTGTCACCACTTCCTGGATCGTCTCTTTCCCACCATCGCTGTACTCCGTACATTGTTCACGTGAGCCTCATTGATCTTATGATCTCAACTCAAGGTGTCACCACTTCCTGCACCGTCGCCTTCCCACCATCGCTGTACTCCGTACATTGTTCACGTGGGCCTCATACAGGTATTATGATCACAAATCAAGGTGTCACCACTTCCTGGATCGTCTCTTTCCCACCATCGCTGTACTCCGTACATTGTTCACGTGAGCCTCATAGGCCATATGATCTCAACTCAAGGTGTCACCACTTCCTGCACCGTCGCCTTCCCACCATCGCTGTACTCCGTACATTGTTCACGTGAGCCTCATAGGCCATATGATCTCAACTCAAGGTGTCACCACTTCCTGCACCGTCGCCTTCCCATCGTCACTGTACACTGTACATTGTTCACGTGAGCCTCATAGGCCTTATGATCTCAACTCAAGGTGTCACCACTTCCTGCACCGTCGCCTTCCCATCGTCACTGTACACTGTACATTGTTCACGTGAGCCTCATAGGCCTTATGATCTCAACTCAAGGTGTCACCACTTCCTGCACCGTCTCCTTCCCATCGTCAGTGTACACTATAAATTGTTCACGTGAGCCTCATAGGCCTTATGATCTCAACTCAAGGTGTCACCACTTCCTGCACCGTCGCCTTCCCACCAATACTGTACACTGTACATTGTTCACGTGAGCCTCATAGGCCTTATGATCTCAACTCAAGGTGTCACCACTTCCTGCACCGTCTCCTTCCCATCGTCAGTGTACACTATAAATTGTTCACGTGAGCCTCATAGGCCTTATGATCTCAACTCAAGGTGTCACCACTTCCTGCACCGTCGCCTTCCCACCAATACTGTACACTGTACATTGTTCACGTGAGCCTCATAGGCCTTATGATCTCAACTCAAGGTGTCACCACTTCCTCACCCTCCCCTTCCCATCATCGCTGTACTCCGTACATTGTTCACGTGGGCCTCATACAGGTATTATGATCACAAATCAAGGTGTCATCACTTCCTGCACCGTCTCTTTCCCACCATCGCTGTACTCCGTACATTGTTCACGTGAGCCTCATGCAGGCCATATGATCTCAACTCAAGGTGTCACCACTTCCTGCACCGTCGCCTTCCCATCATCACTGTACACTATAAATTGTTCACGTGAGCCTCATAGGCCATATGATCTCAACTCAAGGTGTCACCACTTCCTGCACCGTCGCCTTCCCATCGTCACTGTACACTGTACATTGTTCACGTGAGCCTCATTGGTCTTATGATCTCAACTCAAGGTATCACCACTTCCTCACCCTCCCCTTCCCATCGTCACTGTACACTGTACATTGTTCACTTGAGCCTCATGCAGGTCTTATGATCTCAACTCAAGGTGTCACCACTTCCTGCACCGTCCCCTTCCCATCGTCACTGTAAACTATAAATTGTTCACGTGAGCCTCATTGATCTTATGATCTCAACTCAAGGTGTCACCACTTCCTGCACCGTCTCTTTCCCACCATCGCTGTACTCCGTACATTGTTCACGTGGGCCTCATACAGGTATTATGATCACAAATCAAGGTGTCACCACTTCCTGCACTTGGTCGTCTGTCGCCCTGAAGTCGGGCATCACACGACCAAGATCAAGATCCTTGCCTCGGACTCCATACAGCTGGCCCCTCTGGGTCCCCGGACACGATGTAACAATCGTATATACGTCACTACATGCTCGTATAACTATTCAACTGACATCGAGCATTATACACTCAGAATGGTACACTTCTAGTCATTCAACATATAAATGACCATGGGAGCTACCTCAGAATAACTACACACGGTTATTTAACATACATCAAGCATGTACTATACTCAGAATAACTACATATATAAAGTTTTTCAACATACATTGAGCAACTACTACTTAGAATAACCAATATCAATAGTAAATGCAAATAATGATATATTGGTGGTCGTTTTAAATACAACGGCGACTGCCAAAATACGGCCAAATAAAGACTTTGTTGGTGTGAGACATTTTTTTGCAACAGCTTCATTCACGATGAATATACACTAAAAACATATATCCCTACATCCATATATATTCAGTTACTGCGCATATATACATGTAACTATACAAATAAAACATACATGGTCGAATGTTCAGTTTACAAATATATAAGCATAAACAATATTCAAATAAAATGTAACCTACGCCACGAGATTGATAAACACACCAAACCCCAAACTGTCTAACCAAGGTTAGTATTTCTCAGTGACTGCCTGAATTTTAGGTGACAGTCATGTAAGTAAACACTTACTCACGCAGCTTATACTACAAAAGACGTTCACTCCTGACCAAAGCAATTTTACATTGCATCGTTAGAGCTCACAGCCTACATACAGATCAACCACACTCATATACAGTCAAACCCACTTATCAGAAATATATACAGTGTGATCTTGACAACAACCAGGATATTCATCCAGGCGATTCAACGGCACGCCAGCTCTTATACCTGGATAACTTCATCGCTGGGGCCTTAGTTGTGGGAAAAGAAATAGGAGCCGTGTTTTGTGGTATAAGTCAAGCCTCTGATAGGGTATGGCATATGGGCATTATCCAAAAACTCAAAGCCTACCGCTTTGTAACGTAAACAAGCGCATAATATGGCTCGGAAAGTGGTTATTAATAGTTATACCTCAGACGTAATGTCTGTCCAAGCTGGTGTACCTCAGGGATGTGTGCTGGGACCACTGTTGTTTGTCCTTTATATTAACGATATTGACGATACATCAATATATCTCATCATAGCTCATCCAGTTGCGGAAGCCAGATGTATTTAATACGTAATGATTCGGTTTAAATCTAAAACTGGGCCAACAAATAGAAAGTAGTATTCAATTCCGATATGAAAGCATACCATTCCCCCGTAAGGCCGAGGTGGGGTAGCAAAACCATGCTTTCAACGTAATTGACAAAGGGCATACGCATCTATAGTCCCTCAATTTCAATGACACGTCACATTTATAGTATGTAGGCAAACCCCTGCACATCACGCAGACACTGTCCGGCGCACAGAAAAAGTCAGTCGTCTGATGAGGTAACGTGGGATACGCCGCCATTGTTCTTGTTGGTTCTGGAGAAGTTCTTGTCGGATGGCTGGAGGATGTGGTCGCTGTCGAACACGAGGATCCATAACATCCCAGAAGTGTATATGGGGGTCATGTCTGGGGACGCAGAGCACAACATGGCCTGGTACAGTACCTAGCACTGACTGCTGTTAATGCCTGCTGACCTCATTTCTTGTCGGATGGCTGTGGTCGCTGTCGAACTCGACGATCCATGACATCCCAGAGGTGTTATATGTGGGACATGTCTGGGGAGCGTGCAGGCCACGGCAAAACGGTGACGTTGTTGGCTGGATATAAGTTCTGCGTTGTCATGATGACAAAGGACACCATGTGGCAGCTGTTGTAGAAGGATGATGACATTACTGTCAAGAATCGATTCCGGAGACGCAAAGAACGCAAGTACCGGTCCTCATTGGGCGTAGCTACCCTGGAACTGCCTGTTCTTGGCCTGTTAGATGTATGCTCGGTCTGTCTGTAACGTTGCATCAGCTAAGTTACAGCAACACGTGAGCAACCAAATGCTCTGCCAATGTGGGCATGGGTGGTTCCCAACGGTATCATACCCAGGGTCCACTCGCGTTGTTCGTGTGTCAGTCGTGACATTTCTGTGTGAGTGTCTGACATGCCTGACATGACGTGTTTTGCCATGGTTTAGTTTGAACTTGTGTTTTTAATTTTTTGCAATTTCATTTTTATAGTGAAGTTTCTTTTGGGCGTCAGTATATACACATATGGTTTTTGGATAATGCCCATATGCCATACCCTATCAGAGGCTTGACTTATACCACAAAACACACACATATATATATATATATATATATATATATATATATATTAGACGGACAAACGTGAAAGTTGATTGAAATTGCTTTTCTTCATCAAAATACAAAGATGCGTGTTTCTCGTATACATGTGTCTGTTTCACAGATGTGGGGACTTCCTATTTCCCACAACTTTTCTATTAATCAGTTGTAGGTTTGAGCGGATAGTAGCATCGTCTGGTGACAGCAGGTTTGCCTGTGTTACTGATTTTTTGGCCTTCTCGTATTTTCCCCATCGGTAATACAACACACCTGAAAACAAATTAAAATAGTATATAGTACTCAAAAGACGAACACTAGATTCTTAAATAGTACTATAGTTAATCGGTCGTGGCAGTACAGATTTGACGTATATTGACCATTCTACCATGAATTTGGAAATTACTCGATTCTGATTGGTCAATCAGAGCCTATTGTCGGTAGGCATATTTGAATAATTATACCTTCAATTATAGGTTACAAAATGCAAAGTTGCGGTTACTACAGTATTCAAAGGAGGTGTGCAATACATTTCGTGCACAAAACGCGAAAGAAATCAACAAAGAGAATGTTTGGAGACAACAGAGAGCTGGGAATTCGTCGCTTTTCTAAATACGACTTTGACGTTATATCTTTGGCGTCACAAAGAGCGATATGATGGCGACCTGTGGTGTACAATGAGAGCTTTGCAAAGATTGCATTATTTTCTTTATGAGTGCCGATCTCATGCTAGCTTTCAAAGTTGCCGTGTTTATATTCTGTCATTGCGTGCCATATGGTCGCGTGAAGTATTACAGTGTAAACACACTGCCTGAGCATATACAGCGCCATATTTTGTTTAAAGGCTGTTTTCGGTCAATCCGTAATTCACGTCGGCAACCCACTCAAAACACTGGACTCAACCCATGCCGTTTCACTCAATATTGTTGCTCACACCAAAGAGTTCGCGTTATATTTAGTCATGGTAGAAGGGAGAGTACTGTTAGTACTGTGTTTTCAATGTAGAGCCAGAGTACCTGTAGATTTAACCGCACTAAATTGAATTTGGAACCGAACGCGAAGCGTGAGGTTTCAAATGTTAATTTTAACCGCGCTAAATTATAATAATTTAATAAAGAAAATATGCAATAAAAGCTCAATTAAAGGGGCCATCCCAATAAAGTAAATGTATGCAAAATATTGGACAAACACTGAAATATTACCTAGATTGTGATGGAACCGGGCGCTGTGTTCGTCTATCTGTATACCAGCCAGGAAGAGGTCCTCACTCTCCTTGTACTTCTCTGCCAGGATGTAAATATTGGCCAGGCGGAATATCAGGTCTGTGTCACGAGGAAGTGCCTTCAGAGCTTCCTTACCAACCTCAATAGCATGGTCGTACTTCCCTGTATGGGAAAATGTCATTTCTTTGGTTTGAAATCACAATTTATTCATGAACTAGAGATTCCTTAGACGTTCACCGTATGGGATTAGAAAGTTCCTTATTGGACCAGATAAATAAATTGAGGAGCACAAGAAAGTATACCGAGTTGTTGTTTTTTTATGTAACTCATAATTGAAAGAACCGTTCAATTAATATGTTTATATAACGCATCACTCATCACTGCAATTATTTTGTGAAGAGTAATCTGAGGCGAGGTACTTTTGTGCAAAAAATAAATTTAATAAATAAATAAGAAATGAATTTGCAACCACCTGACCCCTACCATGTTTGTTTGCAGAAAAAGCAAATTTATTGATTTCCAAAGATGAGATGTCTAAGATACACATCAGCCGTTGTGTCTTATGCTGTTATTTGTTTAATTAAGTTTTAGTTCAAATTGTGTAATGTAAACAAAAATATAATTATATATATTTATTTATAAAATATAAATATAATTGAAAATCAAACATATCATAAAATCAACAGTTTAATTATGACGTTTAATCAGACAGACAACATTACAGAATATGACGTAAAGTCTGTTTAAATTTATGTAATGATAAATGTATGATGGAATTAACTACAATTATTCCGTTTTCTAGATATAATATTTTACATGTGCAAAACTTTAGAAATGTCTGTAGTCAAGCAGATATTGCTATCCTATATAGGGGGCCAAGAAGTTTAATAATTCGCCGCATTTCTCCGTGTAGAGTTACGTCCCTTAGTTTTATCCTAGATTCGCCGTGATTGTACTGTTTCTCTTGTCAGCACGACACCGTGCTCGTGGGTTTCACCAATTATGGTAAACGTTTTGGAATTGCTTCAACGTGGTGATCCCAAATTAAGACGTGATACAACTGAAACACTGTTCAAAGTGGGGTTAGGCCCACTCACTCTTGTTTCTTACCCAGATCCTCTAGGAACAGGAGGTAGTTTTTCCAGGCCCCTGGTGTTGTCGGACTAATCTGTGTTGCATTCTGCCACGCAGCGATCGCATTTGTATGACGACCAGTGTCTCGATACTGCAGGCCAAAACAATGATAATAATCTAAATACATGTCAAAATATAGGGAACGAAAGAGAGGAGAAACGGGAAGAGATAGAGAGAGGGACGTGAACGAAAGAGGAGAGAAACGGGGAGAGATAGAGAGAGGAGCGTGAACGAAAGAGGAGAGAAACGGGAAGAGATAGAGAGATGGGCGTGAACGAAAGGGGGAGACACGGGAAGAGATAGAGAGAGGGGCGTGAAGGAAAGAGGGGAGAAACGGAAGAGATAGAGGGGCGTGAACTAAAAAGGGGAGAAACGAGAAGAGATAGAGAGAGGGGTGTGAACTAAAAAGGGGAGAAACGAGAAGTGATAGAGAGAGGGTGCAGAGTGAGCGAGAGAGAGTGAACGTAAGAGAAAAGGGAAAAGGCGGGGCGAGAGTAAAATAGACAAGGAGAGAGGGGAGGGAGTAAAACAGAGAGAAGAGAGGGATAGTGGGGGTACAAGGATACCGAACGTAATCTGTTCACGTCATTTGTAGACCTACTAGATTTCCCAGGTTAAAGTAGCAGTCAGAGCACTTCTTGCCGTGTCGGATAGACTCCATAAAGCTGGCCACTGCCGAGTCATTCTTCTTCAGTTCTGACTGGACAACACCTAGGTTCATCCAAGCATCTACGCTGTCATTCCTGTAGGGTACATTGTCTGGTATAGTATGTGTATATACTGACGGCTAAAAGAAACTTTACTACGTTAAAATTGAAATTGAACAAAATTAAAAACACAAGTTCAAACTAAATTAATGCAAAATACATCGTCGAAATACAACAATGCTCTATGCAGAAAGTGATACACGTCCACGGCACGTTTTGTTGTAGGAAATGCGAAAAAGTGGAAACACGTGCGCTTGTGCAGCCGAAACTTCACGTGCAATAAGGGTATAGAAGTGATACTGACGGCATGTCAAACACTCACACTGATAAAAACATATCACCACAGAAATGCCATTACATAAAAAGGTACATTCTACCATGAATTTGGAAATTACTCGATTCTGATTGGTCAGTTTGAGGCTATTAAATCACAATAAACCCCCTCTGATTGAAACAGCTGGTTTGACGGCCGCATCACCGCGGAAGCCAATATTCATAGAATAGTACTTTTTTCAGTATTTGTCGGTAGGCATATTTAAATCATTATATCTACAGTTATAAGTTACAACATGCAAAGTTGTGGCACTACAATAGTCAAAGGATAGGTGGCAATACATTTCGTTGAGAAAACTGCAAAGAGAATGTACTTTAATTTTGGGCAGTCACAATGAGTGATATGACGTCATAATGGTGATGTGTGGTGTAGAACGAAAGCTTTGCAAAGCTTGTATAGTTTTCTTTAGGAGTGCCTACCTCATGTTAGCTTACCAAGTTGACGTACGATACGAACATGGTCTGGTACAGTACCTGACACTGACAACTGTGTTAATGACTGCTGACATGAGTATGCAATACTACACGAACATGGTCTGGTACAGTACCTGACACTGACAGCTGTGTTAATGACTGCTGACATGAGTATGCAATACTACACGAACATGGTCTGGTACAGTACCTGACACTGACAGCTGTGTTAATGACTGCTGACATATGAGTATGCAATACTACACGAACATTATGGTACAGTACCTGACACTGACAGCTGTGTTAATGACTGCTGACATATGAGTATGCAATACTACACGAACATTATGGTACACTACCTGACACTGACAGCTGTGTTAATGACTGCTGACATATGAGTATGCAATACTACACGAACATTATGGTACAGTACCTGACACTGACAGTTGTGTTAATGACTGCTGACATATGAGTATGCAATACTACACGAACATGGTCTGGTACGGTACCTGACACTGACAGCTGTGTTAATGACTGCTGACATATGAGTATGCAATACTACACGAACATTATGGTACAGTACCTGACACTGACAGCTGTGTTAATGACTGCTGACATATGAGTATGCAATACTACACGGACATGGTCTGGTACGGTACCTGACACTGACAGCTCTCTCCAGTAGTTCCTCGGCCTCCAATGCGTCACCCCTCTGCCTGAGAATGATCGCAAGGTTTATCATGGCGGAGACATACCTCGGGTTCAACCTGTAGACGCAAAATGAAAACAATGAGTGTGGCATAAGATGTTTGTCGATGCACATATATCACACTAGTCAACGCTACACATTTCATAAGGGGCGGCCGGGTAGCCTGGTGGTTAAAGCGTTCGCTCGTCACGCCGAAGACCCGGGTTCGATTCCCGACATGGGTACAATGTGTGAAGCCCATTTCTGGTGTCCCCCGCCGTGATATTGCTGGAATATTGCTAAAAGCGGCGTAAAACCATACTCACTCACTCACTCACTCACTCACAAAATTCATAAAAGTATACATCTGCTTATATAACTACAGGAAACTATATAAAACTTTGTTTACCTGTGTTGGTTGTTTAGTTTGTTGTTTAACGCCGCACTCAGCAATATGCAAGCTATATGACGGCGGTCTATAAATTATCGAGTCTGGACCAGACAATCCAGTGATTGACATCATGAGCATCGATCGACGCAATTGGGATACGATGACATGCATCAACCATGTCAGCGGGTCTGACCACCCGATCCCGTTAGTCGCCTTTTACGACAAGCGTGGGTTGCTGAAGACCTGTTCTACCCCGGATCTTCACGGGTCAGTTTACCTGTGTGCTAGAAGGGCATGTTAGCCACCCGCTGCATCTCTGTTCATGAACCTCCAGTGACGACATCCTTTTATCCTGTCATTGCCTTCACTTCTCATAAAAAAAACTCAACTGGTGCAATACCGGGATTTTATATACAAACTTCCTTCGATTTTACACACAAAATACCGCCGAATTCACACCAAAAATTCTTTTAAATTTATATTTCAGTGTATTAAACGTGCTGCTTCGCACGTACAGCTTAACGCGAGAACCACAAGGTTACAAAGACCCCGATCAATCCCAATGCTGTTGAGAATCTTATTTTCAAGCAGGTGTATGCCAGCAAGAGATATTTTACGTCCGTTTCCTAACGTTTATGGAAAATGTTTCCGTTGTGAGTACTTCAACTCAGTTTTTAAATGAGATTTAAATCCTTCGGGCTTCTAATCACACAAAAAAACATCTGACGTGTGTTATTCTTCGCATACTTACGTCAAAGACAGTCTGTATTCATCGGTGGCGGTGTCTGTATTGTTGTCCTGCACTTTTGCAATATTGAAGTGAATCTGTAAAATGTGGCATTGTCTTAAGGACCAAACATTTAGTTTTGGTGGTGGTGGGGAGGGGAAAGGGGGAGGTTGCTGCCAAACGAATATTTGTTTAAGGGAATGGTGAATTGTTGGCGATAGAATATTCTTTTCTGATAGCTCTCCAGACATTCAATTTTCAATTTCAGGATGCCCTGAAAGAAATGGTTTAGGTTCACAAAGTATTATCAGGCTCTTTTCCAATTGGGTCATGTCGTAGAAGTTTGCTACAACGATAATACCTTCGATCACGGGCATGGTACTGATCAACATTGATGAATCTGTGACTCGAACCCACAACCAATGGCTCCAGGAATCCAAGGGAAACAACTCTTGAATCTTCAGCAACCAATGCTTGTCGTAAGAGGCGACTAACGGGATCGGGTGGCCAGGCTCGCTGACTTGGTTGATGCATGTCATCATATCCCAAATGTGTAGTTCGGTCCAGATATAATTATTAACAGACCATCGTCCTATAGTTAGAATACTGCGACGTTAAGCAACAAACAAAAGTAATTTGACTGAAATCTTTATTCTTGGTTAGAGTAGACAACGGTTATAATGAACTCGAAGGGACCACGAACTTTAATTTGTTATAACCGTAGTTCGTTATATGCATATATATGGCATAACCATAGCAAATAGTCGGGACCAAAAAATCAGTTCGTTATATCCGTCAGTTCGATATAAGCGTGTTCGTTATAAACGTACTTTACTGTATTTTAATTTTGCTGTTAGTTTCGTTAAGGTAAGCAGAGCCCAATGGTTACTAAATATTTTAAAGTGAACAGCTGACCTTGGCATTCAGGGGACAGACTTTGACTGCAGCCGTATACAGCGCCAATTCCCCGCTAAATTCCTTGCATCTCTAAAACAAAACAAGTTCGGACATTTTTAGAGACGGAATATTTGAGCGTCATTTTGTCTCAAGGGAACATTCTAAATAAACCTGAGGTAAAAAGAAATATTAAGAATTTTCTGGAACGAGTTGGCCTTCCATAGCAAGGATGCCACACTATTAATACAGGACAGTAATTACAATCTCATGACATTGACTGGAGAGTGAACAGATTGACTAAGAACAACCGCGATTTTCATCATTTATCTAGTAAGGATGACACCCTTGCTGTATTTGGGGCGATGGTGTAGCTTAGTGGTTAAAGTCCCAGGTTCGATTCCCACAGGGGTACAATGTGTGAACTCATGTTTGGTGTCCACAATCTTGATATTGCGAGAATCTTTGTAAAATTCACCCATTCACTTATGCACTCACTTGAAAGTGGACTTACTTGATTTGAGCGTAGCAGAAATATCACGATGAGAAACGTTAATCCCGCTGATGTATACTGTAATACAAATTGCATAAATAAAGAAACTGTAATAAAAATTGCATGATAACATACGAATGTATAATCAACAAAGAATGCTCATGATCAATCCATTCAACAATGAAAGAGCATTTTGAGTCCAGACTCAGGTCACTCCGCCTAGACTAAGAGCACTCCACTCTCGTAGGGCAAAATGAGTCCCGGGATCAAATTACTTCCCTTACATTTCCAAATGTCCACGTTTGATTGTAAGTTCTGGCATGCTTATGTATGAATTTATAAATGTATTGGAGGCGGGTGTTGTTGGTGACGTGGGGTGTGCGAGTTGCTTGAATGACACACGTTCACACCCCCATGTTGTTGCGACGCTTCCTCAGACATATGCTGCTGTTTGTTTGTTGTTTAACGTCGCACTCAGCAATATTCCAGCTATATGACGGCGGTCTGTAAATAATCGGGTCTGGACCTGACAATCAAGGGATTGACGCCATGAGCATCGATCCACGCAACTGGGATACGATGACATGCATCAACCAAATCAGCGAGCCTGACCACACGATTCCATTTACGTAAAGCACAGTCGCCTTTTGTGACAAGCATGGGTTGCTGAAGACCTATCCTACCTCCAGACCCAAGCATCCTGTACCGCCATGTACATGTGGTCACGACGTCCTGGACCTGTATCACTTCACATTATTTGTCCATTCTTTACAAACTTACGAAAAACAACAATAGTTTTACTTTAGAAATATCAAAATTCCCACTATTTGACACGTGCTCATGGCACAGTCGGAATTTAACAATGGACTCACAATGAACATTTTTTTATGATTACGTAAAAGGTTTCGTCGTTCATATTTAAGAAATTGTACCCTTTTCTGTGTTTTAGACGATAATATTGATATTTTATTTCTGCATGGAAATAATGTTTTATGATATATGGTACCTTTCCCAGCGCGTTTGAATGAGTTGGGTTGATAATAGGCGGTAAAAGTACATGTTCTTTTCAAACAGGTGAATTTTAAAATATGAAACACATGGAATATTGACAAGGTGTCAGTTTGCAGACAAGAATTCTAAGACCTTACGTTTCCGTAAAATTGTGGGTATTCATATGAGGCCTTACTTTTTTGCGAACACCTGGCGTCATCACTGATTTTTAATAATTCATTGATATGAATCAATTGTCACCGCTGTTTTGCATTCACACCCAATTTAATCGTTTTCTTTGGAAAACCGAGACTGATAATTCTGTTGCATTGACGTTTTATATTTCTGCAACAATGGTTGTAACGGCATGAGTAATGCTTGATAACAACATCTGGTATTGCAAAAAATACCACCTACATTTATGTATCGCTATATATGTTTTGTTTGACAAAAATATTTGATATAGACCGTGCTACACATTTCAGCAACAGGTAAGCTAATGTGGTTCGAATAATATCTTATTCTGGAAACAGACTGGTAGTTAAAATGGTTACCTGAACAGACAATTAATTTTTATATTTGTCTTTAAAGTAACACGTGTTTTAATACACAAACATGTTTAACAAACAAAAGTTGATGTTAACCGTCATACTTGCTTTTAACACTGCAAACACGAAAACGTCGTTTTTTTCCGTATATGGTCCCAGTAAATTCCGATGTCAAATAACGACGTTATTTGGACGGAAAACCGATGGTTTGAAAACGTCCAAATAACGTCGTTTTTCCGTCCAATGACCATATACGGAAAAAAACGACGTTTTCGTGTTTGCAGTGTAAGCCAGGCGTGAAGTGATTTAAACAGCCGTTGTACACAATGTCATGTAAAATAGATAAAGGTTGTGTACAGCACTGTGTGGAATTGAATACGATATTGAAACAATGAACGTGTACATTAGGCGAGACATTTCAAAACAGTATGCAATATAATGTGTTTAAGATCTTTTTTAAGTTGACTACAGTATATAGGGTTTACACGAGCACATACCTTCAGCTACATCAGAAATTGTATATTTCAAACTATTTTGGTATCTTAAATACCCACATCGAAAATCAACCAACAGACACCAAAAGACATACTAATCACTTCACGAGGAACTGTTTGTATTTGGATTATTTTAATTGACTCGAATTATTTTTGAATAGTCTCTGTAGCCGTCGTACACATGTGAAATAGATAAAGGTTGTGTACAACACTGTGTGGAATTGAATACGATATTGAAATAATGAACGTGTTGATTAGGCGAGACGTTTCAAAACAGTATGCAATGTAATGTGTGGAAGATTTTCATATGTTGCCACAAGGATTTCAAGGATTTCATCCATTTCAATTTTCCAATACCACTATAAGCGCTCGTAGAGTCACATCCACTGAGTGCATGGATAGCTGGCAACACATCATTTCCTTTCCTATGAAGTAGCAATGTTCACAAGCAGCTGTTTGTTTTCTGTTGATGTACAGCAAATGGATTGATAATTCCTGCAATCACTGTTTTGACAGTTTCATGTTTATCCATCTTGGATAAGCTTCCTTTTTTGCAAATACCGGACTTCTGGTGTTCTTTGCTACCAGACATCTGTTTCATGGCTGCTTTGACTTCAGCTTTGAGATGAGAAGTGAGATAATATTTGTTCAGAGCTGTACAGATGACGATCCACAGTCTCTGTTCAGGGACTGTTCTATTCCCCTATCATGCCAACTCCACTCAACGGTCTGCCAGTGGGATAAAGGGACCAGTTCCCATTTGACAAGGCTTAAGAGATGTGTGGTTTCCTTCCTCGAAGTAAGTGACCCCCCCCCCCCCCCCCCCTGCATTATTGACTCTTCTCCACTTTGCATAATTCAGATGCCTATACATGGCAACACTCCGGCAAATAATTCCAGTTCAACAAGCCTGTTGTCATCCCTCTTCGAAGCAATTTCGTTAGGTAGTAATTGGGACATGGCTGAGGTAATTGTCCCAAAAGGTAAATGTGTATGAACACCTCTTCCCAAATTCAGAAAAATGTGGCCATGATTTGCCTACAGGCTTTGCTTGATTTATCAATTCTTTTACAGCATTCTGAACTTCCATTGTATTCTCCCTGTCTGTAGAATCTGTTTTGTGCGAAGGTTTGGAGCTTCTCAGGATACTGTGTTTGATCGTCACGATTCCAAGTTTAGGCGATGCATGGCCTCATTCATAAGTTTGTGGACACTTACACCTCTGTTGTAGGATTTCCAATAGGACACACAACAGATGGCCTATACAGACTGGATTCTATGAGGATATCTTCAAAGCCAGTGTCCTGCACCACGTCCTATATCTCCCATGAAATATATGGCTGTGTGAAATCCTCCCATTCCTAGTTCATCATGTCGAAACTCCTCATCATGTTCTCTGTCTTTATGGCATGGTATACAGTCCAAAAAGGAGGGGTGAATTCAACTTGAAACAGTTTGATACCAAATCCTTTGCTCTCATGATTGAATGAGCCCTCGTGAAACAAATTCATTTGGATATTTCCAAAACGGTGCTTTGCTCCAGTCATGTTTGGGCCCTCCAGCCCTTTAGCAAGTTTGAAATCTTTGTTGATACTTCTAAATCCTACACTCTTTCTATCCTGCAGAATTGCACCTAATGAATCTTGGCTCTGAGAATGGGTTTGATATAACACCATATGTACATGTTTATTTAAATACAATAAACTAATTCTAAAAATATATATCATGATAATTTTATGTACAATTTGTGTATGAAGTCAATATGCATTTCGCAAACATTTTGGAATTTAAAATATTTTGTTTTGGGGTTTTTTTATGAAAAAAATGGCCCTATTATGTATGGTTAAGAAAAGACCCTTTTTATGTAACACCTTACTTAAAGTAGTTGATGGTAAATAGTGCTAACATTGCAGTGGTACTGAACGGGGCCGTTTAGACGAATATGCTGATATTGGATGTGTATAGGAGTCTGCTGATATTGGACCCGTGAAGATTCCGGGGTAGAATAGGACTTCAGCAACCCATACTTGCCGTAAAAGGCGACTATGCTTGTCGTAAAAGGCGACTAACGGGATCGGGTGGTCAGGCTCGCTGACTTGGTTGATACATGTCATCGATCCCAATTGCGTGGATCGATGCTCATGATGTCAATCACTGGATTGTCTGGTCCAGACTCGATTATTTTACAGACCGCCGTCATATTGCTGGAATAAAAACAAACAACCAATCTGCTGATATTGTCTGATACAGGTACATGTCATCAGTTTTCTTGTGTTGTGACCATTCTTGATGTGTTGTTTGAGTACAACAAGCTGTCCTTGGAATTGTCCACACAACTGCCAATATCAAATTAACCAAAGGAAATTCTCTCATCGGCAATGCTTACTGACAACTTATTCTATTTACACCTTCTGAATAAGGGCATCTGACACCAAACCTTTCGAACGCATAAAAGCATATTGCACCATTGTAAACTTATATATCCCATATTATTTTATGCATAATGGCTGAAGGGAATAAAACTTATTACACAAGCAAACATTTTCTAGCTGATGGGGTGAGGCGTTTTTCACATATTCAGGTCTAGCTGCTGGACTATTTACTTTTTAAAGGATTTATGGGTAAACACAGTTGTATAGACGTGTAGAATGAGGTCACATGTTAAGCTAACCTTTTCAGGTAAGAAGAATGTCACATGAACATCTGAAAGCTTTAGAACTGTATGCCAACATTGAAAAGGCAGAGGATAATTACAGTAAAAATATAGGAGATTGATCTCAGCCGCGTGAGTGAATGTTTAAGGGATTGACTATAACTGATCTTATCTATAAAGCAGTTGTCAAATTCCCTCTCACAAACTGTAGTGTGTATGGGAAGGTTACCTGTTTGGCAGTATTATGTAGATGAAGACAGATCTGCCTGGCCCCGAGCACCACCAACATGCAGAAGCCAGCACAGGACAGGTACAGGATCCTCTCTGCGATCACGAAGCCCACACGGAAAAACAGGTTGCTGGCTGGCAGGAAGGGAAGACCCAACACTGCCAGGGAGGTTATCAGGATCCTGAACATATATAGAAGATTAATTACCCTCTATCTATCCTGCGATAAAGTACACTTTAATTGGCTGACGTCATGGCGCTGTTCAAATTACCTCCTTCGTGATCTAAGTATTCTTGGTAACATCGTTCTTTCATTACTGTCAAACAAGATGGCGCATCCTCCCACCTCGGTTATCGTTGAAATAGTTTCTTTAAACTTTCGAACATTTGAATATTATTACGAGGGAAGAAATATGGCAAGATGATCACAACCATCTCTCATACCGCTGGTTACTCAAACAAATTGAGGCACTGAGTCTGTGCCACAGCAGCCACAATATTATCCGAGTCTGCCGTTGGTGCCCGGGGAACTATGGCTTTCTCTTGAGCGATCCTCAAAGACTTTCATAACTCAGTGTATGACATTTAGCAATATACTGCAGTCGAACGAAACGACGTCCACTGTTGTTTTACTTTCCCCATGTTCGTCTAGCCGCGAATAGCTGGAATATTGCTGATGCGGCTTAAAGCACCACTTACTCACTCACTCACCCCATGTTCGTCCCACGGTGACGCGCAAGGCCGGTTACGGAATCATGTAGTGCAACCAGCTCGGTAAACACACTGGCTTGCAGTTGCTGACATTAGTGGTGGACACAAAGTTTCAACTTTTATAGCAGAAAACACCTCAATTTACAATAATTAGCGTTACGAAACATCGGATTTGTTTACATGTGTCAGCTCGGCCCCACAATGCACTTGTGGAGTGTTTCTAATCACGTGATTAAACTGAAGCAAATTTATATTTAAAAAACGGATAATACAATGTGACTAATCCAGACTAATGTCGGATTTATAGCGCTAGCCCGCTGAGATACCATGCTGCAGTTTAACATGGATACCTCACTAAGACACTGTAAGCAGAATACGAACCTATTAGTTCTTGTTTTATCCCCATAAATTCTCGAGCGCCAGGCAGGGTAACAACAAGTGCTGTGTTTTAACTTATTTTGGTAAGACGCAGACGCTTTACCCACGAGACCGCGGAAACGGTTTATATCATAAAGACATAACTGTTTGCTACTATATGAAAAGACCATTGCTTTGAGAAGACACTGATAATTCCAGTGCGTGTTTTTACCCTTTGAAATTATAGAATAAGTGTTTAGTGTGTAATGTCGTTTTATTCAGGAACAATCCAGTTATCATGACGACCTGAAAATATTCAAGTTTGGGTTGGGCAAACCAGTGGTTGATAACATGAGCACCGATCAAAGCAGTCGTGACAAACCTTCATCCAGGACACATTGTGGCCCTCGGTCATCATTAGTAAGCAATGGTCACTGCATGTTCTGTCCAATAGAGGAATAAGACAATTGAAGCCTATGGATCATGCAATGTACCTGCGATCCTTTGTGAGGTGCCCATGGTAACAGTGATAAAACAAGGCAGCAAACCCAGCCCAGAGAGCTATGACTGCCAGGATCCTGCAATCAGCCAATGAGGTGATGACAGGTATACAGCCCATCGACCAATCGTAACACAGCCACCATGGATTCAACAGCAACCAAGAGTTCATTGCATAAAGGTAGTTGTAGTTCACAATCTGAAATGATTGGTTTCAATGTAAAACAATATTTTTTCTCATAGTTGGAATTACTAAAATTAATAAATTCAGGCTCACCATCATCCCCCTCGAATATCAAATGATCGGTCTCTTAATGATTTTTACTCCTTTATGCGCCTTTTCGGTACAAGTGCGATGGCCTGTATCATCGAACATTATTGAATGCATCAGCGTTATATGCATATATAACAGAATGTGACATTAAGAATGGAAGCATAACCAAATACTAACATGAATGAAAGACGCTGTAAACCAGATCACTGAAATAAGTAGCAGTGTTATTCAGCTCGTGATTTCTGCCTGACTATGACCACCTGAAAAGCATGGGTGTGATATCGTCAAACTAGGATTCGGCTCACTTTTGTCATTGTGTCATTGACAAATGAATGTGGATTTTCATTCTCTGAGAATATGGGCGTTGTTGATCCCATGATCCTTATTCGAGTTATGAGGAGTGACACGCTGGTCAGAAACAGGATGAGGTGGCGCTTGATGAGACTTTTCCACCATGAAGACATTGCATGCTGTAAAAAAACACATGTAACTGATTTATGGCATATTTGGCAGCCAAAGAACATGCTGTAAATTCGACATGTCAACCTTCCGTACATATATCCGCCATGTTTATCGCGATTACTCGCGCTATAAGGAGGGGGTGGCGTCACACGGATATCGTAAATCAGTTAGGGAGTATTGTTTTACGCCGCTTTTAGCAATATTCCAGCAACATCATGGCGGGGGGACACCAGAAACGGGTTACACATTGTACCCATGTCGGGAATCGAACCCGGGTCTTTAACCACTCGGCTACCCGACCGCCCCGATATCGTAAATACTCGGATTAGCTTGTTTTTAAGATAAGGTTAATACAAACGGGAATTCTGTCCTCAAAATACAATAATTTAGTGCTCGTATATCTGTAGCTGCTTAAGCAAAAAGAATATATTTTAATTTAATATTTTTCTTCATATTGTAGCCAGTTCTCGTTACCATCTTTTCAGTAAATACAAACTACGAAAATAGCTAGTATACGTATAACAAACGATAAGTAACTGCATTGGTAGTGATTACATTCATTACTGAAGAATGTCGTTGTCTTACCTTGCTCTTGACACAATGTGTGCTGAACACATATTTCTTACATGACAACCACTGGAAAGGATCGACTCGACACACAACGATGATGTCAAACACACTACAAACACCCTGCAGATGAAAGATGTATGCTGAGTTGACAAATAAAGTATGGAGGGGTCATACAAGGTTGGGAAGGACTGGTGCGCACACACAATCATCAGATCAACAAGGACACTTTGTACACATAGGTGTTATGGTATGTGGAGTAACAATATTTATCATATAATTGGTAGGTTTCTCGGCAGGATAAAGCCAAAGGATAAAAACGATATCCGTGGGGGTCATATGCGGATAGAGATGCAAATATCAAGGGTCAAGTAGGGACTACTTTCAGTGTTTATAAACAAACATGGCGTCACCCTTGTCATTCGGCGATCGAGTCAGAATTAACCATCGGGAATATGGATAAACTACAGGGATAATTGCTATCATTATTACAAGAATAGTCTAATATACTGAAAATCAGTGTCTAACTGTGACGTAGCTAAGGCATTTTATAAGTTTTGGCAACTTTGGAGATATAAATTTCGAAACAATTTTGCGAGGGCCCTAGGCCTAGCCAAGCGGGATCAGTAGCCATATCTGTGTTTGTAGACCTCTGCGGCTTGAAACCTTTTCCACAAATTAAAATAGTTGCATTAAATAGTTGCTGAAATATGTTTGAATTGCTACCTTGTTTCGTTTTGTCACAGTGTGTACATCTGACTGCACTTCTTAACGTTATGACAGGACAGGCCGACTGTCAACAACGTCTGAACGTGGCCGTAACGTCTTATAGACTAGGGTTAGAGTAGCTTCCCTTTGACAAAGGTCAGTCACTCTAGCGGACAGACCGATGGATTGCCGCGAAAGGCAAGTAAAATCAATTGATGTTTTGCGTATATGTTGCTTCGCCACTGTATAAGAAACAGATTTCAGTTGGAACTATATTGGCTACTGACACTGTCCGACTGACATTTCACTGACCCTGTGACGTAATATATATTAATGCGCGCATTCCAGGAAAACTCGCAATGTTTCGGTAATGTTTGTGAGAGAGAGAAAGCGATTTTCAAGCACAGAATTATAGAATGACATTATATGACAAAGAGCTCGAGGTTATCACGCTTGTGTGTTTGTGCCAAGGCTCGCTAAATACAATGTTTATTCCTAATGAAGGATATTTACCATCCCCAAACACACTCGCGGGATAACCTCTATGTATTGAGGTTTCCACAATATCATGTTGTCATTTAAACATGAATTAATCTCATACTGTGTGACATTCTTCAATGAAGCATTTTCAGGTTTGGTTACGTTATGAAATTTCTTCATCCACTATATTGGTTTAAGGATCTCAATTAACTGAGAAACCACTTACTATGGCAGTGATGCCCTGCTCCTTACAGAAGGTGGACACGACACACAGACACATACTGGCCAGTACAGACACAGGGGAGAAGAACTCGGGACGGTAACTGACCAGGGATGAAACACTGAATACACTTACTATGACAGTGATGCCCTGCTCCTTACAGAAGGTGGACACGACACACAGACACATACTGGCCAGTAGAGACACCAGGGAGAAGGACTCGGGACGGTAACTGACCAGGGTTAAAGCTGCAATGACGGATATGACGTGTTCAAATGCACTTAAAGCACGTGATGCATACAAGTTCTGGTGGTGTAATACTACACTGGATTCTACCCACAAGTTATGCATTAAACTGCGCAGACAATAGCGAGTATGGTTCTCTGACTACAAACGATTCAGCATGCAACTGTTGTCGTTATTAGGAGGAAATGTACAGATAATCGATGTGAGGATTGCGAGAATATGCGGGAAATACCAAACTTAACCCGTCTGTTCGTAAAATGGACTTGACCGAGGTTGGAGTCTATTCTATTAGGGTAAATATTTTAAAAGCTTCTAAGTTTATCAACATCCCAAAGGAGTCTGTACACAATGTTGATATCTCGTATAAACATTATAAGACTCGCTGCACCCCTCATGGTTTATTCTCCCTGTGCACAGTGTTTTATTATTCGATAACCAACTCCCACTCGTCGTTTGTTTTAAACAAGAAGATTAAAATGTTATTAGGCCTGATAACTTCATGATGAAAGGGGTAAACAGAAAGGGATTTCCTTCGACTGTAACTGGGATTCCCCGAGGTGAGGTGAGGTGAGGTGAAATGGGGTTAAACGTCGCGTCCAAGATTATTGCACCATATAGCGACGTGCATGTACGTGTGTGTGTTTGTGTGGCTGCTTGTACTAGTCCGGACTGATGCCGATTTATAGTGCTAGCTCCCTGAGATACCATGCCGCAGTTTAACATGAATACCCAACTCAGACACAGTGTACTGACTCCAAGCCGACCAGTCCTTGTTTTAGCCCCTTAATGCCGAGCCCCAGGCAGGGTAACAACAAGTACCATCTTTTAACGTCTTTTGGTATGACGCGGCCGGGGATCGAACCCCGGAACTTTCCGCTCTCCGGGCGGACGCTCTACCATTAGACCACGGAGGCCGTCTGGGATTCCCCGACATTCCGTAGGGATGAAGGTAGTCCGATTCTGTGGGCGTGGCTTAACTGTTCACATTCATTTGGAAATGAATGCAATAACACGTGACCAATTCAGAATGCGGGAATTCCGATGACACTCAACGGAAATTTCTTTATTATAGAAGGTGCTGATTTGATATGAGGTGTGTCACATCTTACGCGAGAGGCAGGCTCTGGCATACAGGAGGAATGATAGAAGGAAGGTCAAGGCACAGAGCAGGTCAGCCCGACCCACGACCCCAGCAACCTGCAACACAGCAGGGTCAAGCACATCATCACATCATATCACATGTTACCAAGCAACAATATCTTTGATTGTTTTATTGGTTTTCATAACTAACCCTATGCATATTCTTTATTGCGATTAAACAGTGCTGCCCTTCAAAGGTTTAGACCATGTACGGTGACATTCCTAGATATTGATTGGCATTTCATGCAAACATGTAATATTTTGGACTTTTGTAAGAACCAGAATAAATTATCGATCAATTCTTTCTTCTCTGTAAGGCTGAACGTTTTATTTTGTCTACCTATATTTTCAGGACATATGATAAAACTTAAGCTTGAGGTAAACGTGTGTCTTTCTTGAAATCCATTTCTGAAAGAACATTTATTACCCACACTTTCAGTGTGAATGGGATGCACAGCAAACAACACAGCACACAGGAGAGCAGCTCGGGGCGAGGCAAACACCGGCCTGGCAAATTCCTGGTCCACCTGGTAACCAGACATAAGGACAGAGAATACTGCCATGAAGATGACCGACACCAAGCCGTGCAGGACGATGTTGACAACGTGGAATCCCCGAGGATGAAGGCCCCCTGCCCAGGCATAGTTCCACCTGGATAAGAACATAGGCATCATCAGCAACAAGATGAACTTTCTAAGGAGCTCTTTTGGTACCTTTTCTTCTACTAATTACTGGGGCGGTCGGGTAGCCTTGTGGTTAAAGCGTTCGCTCGTCACGCCGAAGACCCAGGTTCGATTCCCGACATGGGTACAATGTGTGAAGCCCATTTGTGGTGTCCCCCGCCGTGATATTGCTGGAATATTGCTAAAAGCGGCGTAAAACCATACTCACTTATTCTACTAATTACATCGAGACTCGAACTGTCGCGTGAGGGAGAGTAACGACATGAAAGGGTCAAACTATCACCAATATGAAACAGTACAGCCAATAACAATACTGCCAAATTATCAAATTAACGACATTACTTTCCAACTGCGCATTATTTCCCATTTTACGGCATGTCGCACACTTCTTCAAGAACACTAATGAATGCGAGTAGCAGTACATCTGTCTTCACTGGGGCCATTGCTTGTGCTTATGGCGTCATCAATGGAACTTCGCTACACGTGAGAAATTGAGGGTCATTTGTAAATGTAAATGTTTTATATTGGCTATAATTTTCAAATACTGATGTTTCCGTGAACAATAACGTTTTATTCGTATCTTGTATGCTGGGTACAATGTGTGAAGCCCATTTCTGGTGTCCCCCGCCGTGATATTGCTGGAATATTGCTTAAAGCGGCGTAAAACTATACTCACTCACTCGTACCTTGTATGCAAAACTACTGATCACGACAGATTCATCAACATGGTTTTTGTTATAATATTTAGTGCGATATGCCTTTTTCCAATAGAATACCCAGTGACACAAATACTTCTCTTATACATTTCATTAAATAATTCAAATTGAAATACACCTGTCGCAGAAAATGTTCAATACTCAAAATGTAGATCACAGCACATGTTAATATATTTGAAGGTAAGGCAAATGGAATGTGTGACAGGTGAGATGTGTGACATTGGTTAGTGTGACAAATAGGATATGTGACAGATGAGACGTGTGACAAAGGGGGTGTGTGACAAATGGGATATATGACAGATGAGATTAGTGACAAAGGGTGTGTGTGACAAATGGGATATATGACAGATGAGATGTGTGACAAAGGGGGTGTGTGACAAATGGGATATATGACAGATGAGATGTGTGACAAAGGGTGTGTGTGACAAATGGGATATATGACAGATGAGATGTGTGACAAAAGGGGTGTTTGACAAATGGGGATGACATATCAGGGTTGGGGAGTGGGGGTGACAAATGGGATGTGTGTCAGATGCAGTGGGTGACAAATGACGGTGTGATGAATGAAGTGTGTGACAAATGGGGAATGACATGGGATGTGTGACAAACATGCTGGTTTCTTACATCCCATGTATGACAAATGGAATGTGATACATGGGGGTGTGACAAATGGGGTATGACATATGGGGTGTGTAACAAATACGATGTGTGACGTGACAGATGGAGGATGACATGTGGTGTGTGACAAATGTGGAGTGTGACAAATATGGTGTGTGATAAATGTGGAGTGTGACAAATGTGGAGTGTGACAAATGTGGAGTGTGACAAATGTGGAGTGTGACAAATGTGGAATGTGACAAATGTGGAGTGTGACAAATGAGGTTTGACAAATGTGGAGTGTGACAAATATGGAATGTGACAAATGTGGAGTGTGACAAATGGGGTATGACAAATGTGGAATGTGACAAATGTGGAATTTGACAAATGTGGAATGTGACAAATGTGGAATGTGACAAATGTGGAATGTGGCAGATGTGGAGTGTGACAAATGTTGAATGTGACAAGTGTGGGATGTGACAAATGTGGGATGTGACAAATGTGGAATGTGACAAATGTGGAATGTGACAAATGTATAATGTGACAAATGTGGAATGTGACAAATGAATAATGTGACAGATGTGGAGTGTGACAAATGTGGAGTGTGACAAATGTGGAATGTAACAAATGTGGAGTGTGACAAATGTGGAATGTAACAAATGTGGGATGTGACAAGTGTGGAGTGTGACAAATGTGGAGTGTGACAAATGTGGAATGTAACAAATGTGGAGTGTGACAAGTGTGGAGTGTGACAAATGTGGAGTGTGACAAATGTGGAATGTAACAAATGTGGAGTGTGACAAGTGTGGGATGTGACAAATGTGGAGTGTGACAAATGTGGAATGTAACAAATGTGGAGTGTGACAAATGTGGAATGTAACAAATGTGGGATGTGACAAGTGTGGAGTGTGACAAATGTGGAGTGTGACAAATGTGGAATGTAACAAATGTGGAACGTGACAAGTGTGGAGTGTGACAAATGTGGAGTGTGACAAATGTGGAATGTAACAAATGTGGAATGTAACAAATGTGGGATGTGACAAGTGTGGAGTGTGACAAATGTGGAGTGTGACAAATGTGGAATGTAACAAATGTGGAGTGTGACAAGTGTGGAGTGTGACAAATGTGGAGTGTGACAAATGTGGAATGTAACAAATGTGGAGTGTGACAAATGTGGAATGTAACAAATGTGGAGTGTGACAAGTGTGGAGTGTGACAAATGGGGAATGTGACAAATGTGGGATGTGACAAATGTGGAATGTGACAAATGTGGAGTGTGACAAATGGGGAATGTGACAAATGTGGAGTGTGACAAATGTGGAGTGTGACAAATGTGGAATGTGACAAGTGTGGACAAATGTGGAATGTGACAAATGTGGAGTGTGACAAATGTGGAATGTGACAAATGTGGAATGTGACAAATGTGGAGTGTGACAAATGTGGAGTGTGACAAATGTGGAATGTGACAAGTGTGGACAAATGTGGAATGTGACAAATGTGGAGTGTGACAAATGTGGAATGTGACAAATGTGGAATGTGACAAATGTGGAGTGTGACAAATGTGGGATGTGACAAATGTGGAATGTGACAAGTGTGGACAAATGTGGAATGTGACAAATGTGGAGTGTGACAAATGTGGAATGTGACAAATGTGGAATGTGACAAATGTGGAGTGTGACAAATGTGGAGTGTGACAAATGTGGAATGTGACAAATGTGGAATGTGACAAATGTGGAATGTGACAAATGTGGGATGTGACAAATGTGGGATGTGACAAATGTGGAATGTGACAAGTGTGGACAAATGTGGAATGTGACAAATGTGGAGTGTGACAAATGTGGAATGTGACAAATGTGGAATGTGACAAATGTGGAGTGTGACAAATGTGGAGTGTGACAAATGTGGAATGTGACAAATGTGGAGTGTGACAAATGTGGGATGTGACAAATGTGGAATGTGACAAGTGTGGACAAATGTGGAATGTGACAAATGTGGAGAGTGACAAATGTGGAGTGTGACAAATGTGGAATGTGACAAATGTGGAATGTGACAAATGTGGAATGTGACAGATGTGGAGTGTGACAAATGTGGAATGTGACAAGTGTGGAATGTGACAAATATGGAGTGTGACAAGTGTGGAGTGTTACAAATGTTGAATGTGACAAGTGTTGAATGTGACAAGTGTGGAATGTGATAAGTAGGGAATGTGGCAAATGTGGAGTGTGACAAATGTGGAGTGTGACAAATGTGGAGTGTGACAAATGTGGAATGTGACAAATGTGGAATGTGACAAATGTGGGATGTGACAAATGTGGAATGTGGCAAATGTGGAGTGTGACAAATGTGGAATGTGACAAATGTGGAGTGTGACAAATATGGAATGTGACAAATGTGGAATGTGACAAATGTGGAATGTGACAAATGTGGGATGTGACAAATGTGGAATGTGATAAATGTGGAGTGTGACAAATGTGGAGTGTGACAAGTGTGGACAAATGTGGAATGTGACAAGTGTGGAATGTGACAAGTGTGGAATGTGACAAGTGTGGAGTGTGACAAGTGTGGAGTGTTACAAATGTGGAATGTGACAAGTGTGGAATGTGACAAGTGGGGAATGTGGCAAATGTGGAGTGTGACAAATGTGGAATGTGACAAATGTGGAGTGTGACAAATGTGGAATGTGACAAATGTGGAGTGTGACAAATGAGGTATGACAAATGTGGAGTGTGACAAATATGGAATATGACAAATGTGGAGTGTGACAAATGGGGTATGACAAATGTGGGGTATGACATATGGTAAATGTGACAAATATGGAATGTGACAAATGTGGAGTGTGACAAATGGGGTATGACAAATGTGGGGTGTGACATATGGTGAATGTGACAAATATGGAATGTGACAAATGTGGAGTGTGACAAATGTGGAATGTGACAAATGTGGAGTATGACAAACGAGGTATGACAAATGTGGAGTGTGACAAATATGGAATGTGACAAATGTGGAGTGTGACAAGTGTGGAATGTGACAAGTAGGGGATGTGACAAGTGTGGAATGTGACAAATCCTGGCGTGGCACATATGGTGTGTGACAAATATGGAGTGTGACAAGTGTGGAATGTGACAAATGTGGAGTGTGACAAATTTGGAATGTGACAAGTGTGGAATGTGAAAAATGTGGAATGTGACAAATGTCGAATGTTTCAAATGTGGTGCGTGGCAAATGTGGAATGTGACAAATGTGAAGCGTGACAAGTGTGGAATGTGACAAATGGGGAATGAGACAAGTGTGGAATGTGACAAATGGGGAATGTGACAAATGTGGAATGTGACACATGTGGAGCGTGGCAATTGTGGAATGTGACAAATGTGGAATGTCGCAAATGTGGAATGTGACAAATGTGGAGTGTGACAAATGTGGAGTGTGACAAATGTGGAGTGTTACAAATGTGGAATGTGACAAATGTGGAGTGTGACAAATGAGGTATGACAAATGTGGAGTGTGACAAATATGGAATGTGACAAATGTGGAGTGTGACAAATGGGGTATGACAAATGTGGGGTATGACATATGGTAAATGTGACAAATATGGAATGTGACAAATGTGGAGTGTGACAAATGTGGAGTGTGACAAATGTGGAATGTGACAAATGTGGAGTATGACAAATGAGGTATGACAAATGTGGATTGTGACAAATATGGAATGTGACAAATGTGGAGTGTGACAAATATGATATGTGACAAATGTGGAGTGTGACAAATGGGGTATGACAAATGTGGGGTGTGACAAGTGTGGAATGTGACAAATGTGGAGTGTGACCAATTAGGGTGAGTGACAAATGTGTGTGATGAATGTGTGACAAATGGTGGTGTGACATGAGATGTGACAGATGAGATGTGTGACAGATGGACGAAGACAAAGATGGGATGATATTAGATTTGTGACAAATGACATGTGTAACAGATGGAATGTGACACAAACTGGTGTGTGGCACACAGGATGTGTGACAAATGGGGGATGACATATAGTGTGTGACAAATGGAGATGTGACATCTGAATCTTGATTGTTTTAACTGCGACCATCTGGTCTGTTTTTGTGTGTTTCAGCACTGGGCTTTTTGTTTCATATTAACAATGACCGGGTTTACCCGTTTGGATGTCAGCTTATGCTGTGATATTAACTTACACGTCCTTGGGTGCCTAATACGGTTGTGACACATGGGTGTGTGACAAACTGGCGATGACGAATACTGGGGAGGCGCAAATGGGTCTCCATATAGGTATTTCTGACAAACTGGATGTGTCGCATATGGTATGTGTACGTGCGTCACAAACAGGGTGTGTGATAAAAGAATGACAAATCGGCGATAACAAATAGGGTGTTTCACAAAGGGGTGATTAAATGGACAAATGAGAAATATCTCCATATGACATTGTTCTCATTCTGATAAGTGTCTAAGATACTCCCGATGCTGTAAAGTGCGTACAAGAACACAGAAAGTTTCCAGAGATAATCACTGGGCCATAGAAGAGACTCCACACTAAACTGCCGGGGAAAAGAAAGTGTACACCCATGTTTGAATGACCAAGCAGGAACTGATTATAGGGTGATGCATTTGATACGGGTGTCGTTGTTGTGTTTTGGACCTCAAGTTTCCAGTGTTCAGTCTCGTCACGTTCTGATAACGTTTGTAATTTGTTTGGTCAAATCCAATTTTCAAGTGTATGCGTTCTTTTGCCTGGCATTTCATGATCCGTATACGCTCTCTGGGCATATGCGATGATGCCAAGAAGCAGAGGAAGATATTGAAATGGCAGTCAGATAGTTGTACCTATATTTGAATTATATCTTTGTGTAAACAAAAATATGTGTTTCGTTCGAAAATTAAATTAATAAAAGGTATAGGCGGTCAAGTGTATACATAGGTGCCTGTCTTCGATAGTATAAAGAATAATCAATGTGTTATGCTTGCAACAACAAGCTGCCAACATGACAGGGTGCGGTTATTTTGCTATGTTATGTCGATTATCACTTATCTCACCTGAAGGTCATCACAGTAAGTGGTCTGTAGGACTTGTGACTCTTCTCATCCAACTCCTGTCCCCAGAAATCATGAGCAAATATGGCTGTTAGTGGAGTCTCAGGGATTAGATCTCGGTTGTTGATGATGGCCCGTAGGTCGTCATACACAAAACCTGCATCGTGGCTGTTCGCGAAACACAGTACCGCCAGACAGAAGACGAGGACAGATGCCACAGAGAAGCTGAGTTTGGGTACAGGCAGGACGTCATCCCAGTCTAGTTGCTGGTCGCTGCTTACGTGGCCGTTTGTCTTCGGGAATCTTGGCTTTCTCAAAGAAGCGTTTATCATGATGTTCCCTATGAAGGATAAGCGTGTTTTATGACCTCTAATTTAGTGCAATTTTTTTGTTGGGTATAACCCACGCTCTCAGGATGCTGCCTCAGGGTATTACGGTGCCTTAGACCACTCTGCCACCATCGCTCTCACAATGCTCGTGTATAACCAATCCAACTCTTCCAAAACGTGACATAAAGTGGGTAAAATCAATGACTGTATCAGATTTGCTGTATCGAGCCTCTTATCAATATATACTACCGACAGGTGGGCGAATGAAAAAGTGTAATTACTTGAGTGTGGGACGAGTACAGTCAAAATGGTAGGGTTGCATTGAGACCTTAGAAAAGGTTGGCTAATCGCATTAATTGCGGTATGCAATAGATTGCTCTTGCAGCCCGCCTGAAAGCAAGGCATCCTATGAAGGGTATGGCCCTAACAGCTAACCATAGGTGGCAAAGACTGGGATGGGCCATGTTGCAATATCCAGTAAAGACTGGTCCCTATCACCCTTACTGTCAAGCACAATGACTGATCCCCGCACATCCGGGCTTGTAAAAATGATGGCTACCGAGTAAACAAGCGACGTCGACACGTGTGTCTTGTTGTCGCTTTGTTTAGTGTTTGGGTAACACACGATATCGAAACAGGTCAGGCAACACCAGTGACGTTACACCACGTCTACAGTCAGGAATGCAGGAATTGTAAACAACTGGATAAGAAACACTGAGGCTATCCGCTTCTCTTACCATTACGGCTTCTGCCATAATGTGGTCAATAATATTACTATTTGTGAGACCCGTAAAGATCCGGGGTAGAATAGGTCTTCAACAATCCATTCTTGCCGTGAAAGGCGACTATGCTTGTCGTAAGAGGCAATGAACGGGATTGGGTGGTCAGGCTCGCTGACTTGGTTGATGCATGTCATCGTATCCCAATTGCGTGGATCGATGCTCATGATGTCAATCGCTGGACTATCTGGTCAAGACTCGATTATTTACAGACCGCCGTCATATAGCTGGAATATTGCTAATTTCGGCGTTAAACAACAAACAAACCTAAAACATGGGACCATAGGATTTCGACACGCACAGGAGGCCAGTGCCATCCGTGACCCAGCTATTAAATGGAAGGATATGTAACATAATATATCATGTGATTGCATTTAATATCCAGACTGCCCTAATGGCGTGCCTGCATCGATGCTCACGGGGCATGGACCAGATATTAACTTTGCTGGGAAGATTAAATTCCACAATTCCACTTTACATATAATATCTGGATGAATTTAGGTGACCCCTTAAATATTGTTCCTCGCACAGTTTTCACGCAGCTGTTGCATATCACAGCACTCCTGTAGGGATTCCGCTTTAGAAAAAGGTCCCCGGCAACCTGTGATGGTCGTAACAGGCTATTCAATGGATGGAGGGGTGAGGCTCGTAGTCATCGTACCCTGACGACGTGGTTCGATCCTCGCAGTACCAATCACCGGACTGCCTGGTCCAGATCCGATTATTAACAACCCGATGAAATATAGCTGTAATATACACATACGCACGCACGCACGCACGCACGCACGCACGCACGCACGCACGCACGCACGCACAACAAACACACACACGTACGCTCGCGCAGTCATTGCAATTTTGCTTAAAATATATCAATCTCAATAAAATCAGATCTTAGTTCTCGCTTCCGCTAAACAAAGATCTTTGTTTAGCGGTAGCGAGAACTGAGGTCAGATTTTAATGAGATTGGAAATATATAATACGAGAATCATTGAAATTAAATATATCAAACTATGAAAATTATATTAACGGGTCACTGAAAATCAGGAATTACGTCGTGTTCACGAAAAGGATACGTATGTGTTGCTCTACCGGCAGGACCCGCCTCTCACACAACCTGCATAAATAAAGTAAAATAAATAAATGTTTGTGGTCTGAAGCCGCGCAGCAGTATTTCGCCATACGACGGCAGACTGCGCACTATCGAGTCTTGACCAGACAATCAAGTGAAAGTGGACGAGAAACATTTGTTTGCTTTTTGTTTGTTAGTTGTTACCACCACACCCTGCAATATTCCACCTATATGACGGCGGTCTGTAAATAATCAGACCCGTGAAGATCCGGGGTAGAATAAGTCTTCAGCAACCCATGCTTGCCGTAAAAAGTGACTATGCTTGTCGTAAGAGACGACTAACGGAATCGGTTGGTCAAGCTCGCTGACTTGGTTGATGCACGTCATCGATCCCAAATGCATGGATCGATGCTCATGATATGAACTGTAGAACTGCCATATGTGACCCAAAGTCAATATATCGCCCCGTTGTATAATATTGAGATAGTATGGCAAGTTGCGAAAAGTCAATAAAGTTATTTATCTATTGTTTGGGATCAATCTCGGTTTGCTAAAGCTTATGAGCATTGATGTGGTATAGTCTTGCCATCTACACCGATTGGACAATCATACAGAAGAACCTCACCTGAGCATTGCAGTGTTGACTTCATTGATCAATATTTTTAAAACGTGTTTTGCAGCTTTGTACGCAAGCCGTTAAGGGCTATTTCTTGTTTTGGTTTTTTTCTTGAATTTTCAAGATACTGAGTTAAAATTTCAAGATGTTGTTTTGAAATTTCAAGATACTTAGTTAAAATTTCAAGATACATACTAAGTTGATATTTTAAGATAATCATCTTGAAATTTCAAGATAATAAGTTGAACCATTAAGATTATAACTTGAAATTTCAACTTAGTATCTTGAAATTTCAAGAAAAACATGTAAAAAACGAATGGCCCTAAAAGGCTTCCGTTGCTTTGTTTGGACTCACTGAACATTATTTTAAGTTTCGTTTTATGTCATTAAACAATATAATGAGTAGGATTGTTGACACTTTTAGACGTCACTGAGCAATACGTGTAACATGGCTGTTGACATTTGCTGTGGAGATGCCATTAAGACAATATAAACATGATTGTTTTGTTTTAGAGGGCTTTCCATGTCATTAAGCAACATTGTTAAGATGATTTTGACATATTTCAGTTAGATCGACAATGACCAATACTTTGATCATAATTGTTGGCATTTTCTGGTTTAGGCGACAATAAACAATAGACTTAAACATGATGGTCATTGTTAGCATTTTACTTTGATTACAAAATAATCCGCCCGTTGCTTAACTTGAATTTTACTTTGATTGATTACACAATAACATAAACCACGTTGCTATACTCAACATTTTACTTTGATTGATTACATAATAACATAAACCCCGTTGCTATACCTGACATTTTGCTTTGATTGATTACATAATAACATAAACCTCGTTGCTATTCTTGATATTTAATAAATAGGTTTCACTTCATTATCCGTTCAAAGTGTGGTTATCCCCAAATTTATGCAGCAAAAAGAAGACATTTTAGATTTAAGGTTTTATATTACCTTGCTTCATGTTTATCACGTTGGGGTGAGCTAATGTAAACATAGCCGAAGTTCGGTGTCGCTGGTTATTGTGAGTTGTGTTTTCTGTTGTACAAGTTATGGTTTTGTTTCCGCCACTAATGTAAGCAGACTGTAGCAACTGCAAACCATGAAATAGTGTGCTTACCTAGCTGGTTACACTACACGATACCGTAACCGACGTGAAGCGACGGTCTGTGGCGTGATATGGCGTCGTCATGGGAACATGGCGGAGCAAGAGCAGCAGCGGCCGGTTTGTTAGACTGATGAATATTGTTAAATGCCGAACACTGAGCAACACGTGTACATGTTCTCTTGGACGTTTCAAGGATTGCTCATTTTTTTGTCCTGAGGGAAATACATACTTCGTAGGGAACCAACGCCCGCCTCGGACAATTTTGTAAGTGCTGTGGCACGGACACAGTGGCATGAGAGATAGTAGACGGATACAGTGGCATGAGAGATAGTAGACGGATACAGTGGTTTGAGATATTGTAGACGGTTACAGTGGCATGAGAGATGGTAAACATATTCTTGCCATATTTCTTCCGAGACAATAACATTCGAATATTCGACAAATTTAAACAAACTCTTTCACAGAAAATCCTTGTTCATCCGCCATCCTGCTTGGCAGTAATGAAACAGAGATGCTACCAAGGATACGTTAGATCACGGGGAAGGTCATTTGAACAGCGCCATGACGTCAGTCCCTTAGGACTCAACTGAAAACATGTTCTTTATCGCAGGATAAAGTACAGTCGGTGCCTTTCATCTGTTAGCGAAGCATTTTTGAATACCATTTATAAACATGTACGATCGTGAATATTGACATTATTTGAAAGGTGGTAGATATGACGGTTGCCGTTTGTTGTTTTACGTTGTTATTATAAACATAATTTTCTTATTGCATCTGTGCTGAACCCATTACTCGGCATGCTGTTAAAACACGATAGTTTAGGATTTCTTTGCCAAAATCTAACACAACTTAGGAGTGCCGATTTTTTAAACCGATTTTCATAATCGTCAAATGCAACTTCTACACTCAGCAATATTCCAGCTATATGACGGCGGTCTGTAAATAATCGAGTCTGGACCAGACAATCCAGTGATTAATATCATGAGCATCGATCCACGCAATTGAGATCGATGACATGCATCAACCAAGACAGCGAGCCTGACCACCCGATCCCGTTAGTCGCCTCTTACGACAAGCATAGTCGCCTTTAACGGCAAGCATGGGTTGCTAAAGACCTATTCTACCCCGGATCTTCACGGGTCTCAAAAAAGGGAATCCAATCGCGGAAATAATATCTAGACAAAAAAGCCTCAATCCTCGAGAGTTTATCTGAACGATAATCATACATTTCTTGGTTGTGTCAGGTTTCTTTGTATAAATAATATCAGGGGACGACAATCCTCAAACAAGGGAATTACTGGTTGCCACTACATGTACGATGAACGTCACTAAATATACATTCACAGTGTACTGCAGATTTCCTTCTTTATATTTCCTTACACGCTAATATTTCATTTGTTAATTGTAATCAGATATTAGGAGTTCAATCACAGATTATTAGAAAATATATCATTATCCAAAGCCAATCCTCTAATTTTGTTATTTAATTTATCTCTTGAACAAAGCACATTCTCATCACAGTGGAAAAGGTAAAAAAAAACCACCCTTCCAACTGCAGGCCTATTTCACAGTTATCTTGTCTTGAAACTATTTGAAAGGCTAATTTTTAAAAAAGATTACTTTCTGGAGATTAAACTACTTTCCAAATATTATTTGGGATTCTTGCCAAACAATTGTACTAGATATACACTGATCGAAATGTATCATTAAATTTGTAATTCATTTGACGATCATAAATATGTTTGCATGATATTCTGTGATATTTCAAAGGCATTCGACAGGGTAATGGTAGTGGTAAAGTAAACAATTCACCAAAGCAGGGGCCCAACAGGGCTGTGTACTGGGGCCGTTCCTATTTCTAGTTGACATAAATGATATGACTGACCAGGTTCAAAATATCACCAGGTGTATTTGCCGATGACGCATGTATATGAACTTCATCTACTGATATGGATTTTATTGAAGAAAGACTAAATCAAGACCTCTCTTCCTCCATCACTGGGCAAGTACATGGGTTGTGACATTTTAACCAAACTAAGATAAAATATATGTTTTCTGAGTCACAAACAGGGACGGGGTTATGCTAACAGTGCCATGAAACGTGTATAAACTCATACACACCTCGGGGTCACTTTAACTCACATGTTGTAGTTTCTCGTATACAACGGCCGGTTCAATAGCGCTGCCGTATTTCATTAAAAGTGGCAATAGTGATGATACATGATGTTCGCGAAAAACGGTATTCGTATCCTGCCCCATCGGTGAAACAACACGGAAACGAATGGGTCAAGTCTAACGTCTCGCATGTGTCAAATTTGGAAACGTCCCCCACATGTAAACAATAAAACTATTTGAAAGCTTTGTTGAGGCATTGAATGGTGTAAAGTCGATCCATTTGATAAATAAATTGTAAATTGCTAATTGTAAAAATAACATACAATGAAAGAATCGATGTGGATAAAAGTGTCAATGATTTATATGTAAAGTGTCCAAAGTAAAGCATAAAAAATGCATAGAACCCTCCACTCACGGATCATAGGTACTCTACATCGATGACCCTACCACCACGTGGATGTGCCAGTTCAGCCCTAGAGTCACCGTCCTCCGAACTGTAGAATGTCAAGGATCACGACCATGTCAAAGCGGGTAAATTGACTCTTGTATGATGAGGGCGTGATAAGCTTCAAATACTTTACACATATTCCAGTTCAGCACAACCTTTGCTCTGTAAAAATAGCAAAATTGAAACGAATTCTAAACATACACGATTAATCAAAACAAACATGAACATCTATCAGATCTGCCTTGTGGTATATCTTGTCCAACTAGGGACCGAACATTTATTAAATATATTTTTCCCAACATGAACATCATATTTCCCCAACCCCTCGTGTCAACTCACTTGTGGCAAGGCTGACAACTTTTTTAAGAGTCCCAACCAAAAGGATAAAAAATGTTATCCTTAGAAATAATGCAATGATTCAAATGTGCATAATAAATATATTTGTTCGCCTGATACTTCCTCTCACCCTAACAAGAGACTTACCTTCACTTTAGAATATGGCGTTCGTGGTCTTTGCGCCTCTGATGACGATGCAGCGTGGCGTGTTTACAGATCCTTCGTGTCAACTAGATGATTGAACAGCGAGGTCTAGTACAACAATACTATACATAACGCGCTCAATTTATCGCAGCTGTTACAGAAGCGAAAACACCCAGAACCATAATGAGAAAATGCACATTTCGTCAGAGAAGTGGTTTATATATATTATAGATTTACTCAACCCGACTCGTTGTAACAGCAGTGATGGGTTTGATGCAACTGTCAATGATTATATGACACATCACGATGATGAATGTACTTATTGTATAAGTATGGATAATCTGTCAGAAAGTATTACCAGAGAGGTCATTGAGAAATCAACCAAGTCACTTAAAATGGGCAAATCCCCGGGTATTGATGGTATACCACCCGAAGTTTTTAAATACGCTAATTCAATTTCACCATATTAAGAAACGCTAATCAATGATTATTCCATTATGTAATAAAGAGGATGTTTATTATCCAAATAATTACCGTGGTATTTCTTTGCTAAATGGAATGGGTAAAATATTCACATCTATCCTTGAATCCAGTATAAGGATATAGCTACAGTGCATGGAGTACTAGCATTACATGAGTGTCAAGTAGGTTTTAGACATGACTATTCTACAATTGATAATGTATTTGTCCTACAAATTGACTTTGTTGACAGACATAAGCTATTGAGACTGCTGATGAAAAGTGTATATGGGAAAATGTTTAGAATTCTAAAAGATATGTATGACAAGATTTCAGCTGTTGTTAGAATCTCAAGTTCGAAAACTGAAATATTTACAACATCATGTACGCTTGGGATGTATGTTGAGTCCTGTTTTATTCTTATCTTTAAAAAATGAGCTTGTAGATGAAATGAAGAAATGTGAATTGAGCGGTGTTTTTGTCGGAGATGGACTAACCTATATCATACTGATATTTTTTGCAGACGACGTAACATTGATTGACGACACTGTAATAGTCCTGCAAAGAAAACTTGATGTGTTAACAGGTTATCGTAACAAATGGGGCCTAGATGTTAACCTGGAGAAGTCATGTATTGTTGTTTTCAGAAATGGAGGATAACTAAGACAAACAGAAAAATGGACTTATGATGATAAACATATGAAAGCAGTATCCCACTATAAATATCTAGGTATTGCATGTGAAACATTAGCACTACAAGCCAGAAAGGCTTCGTTTACCATTATGACCTTATTGAAGGATTATCCAAACATTTCTCTAAAGGTAGCATCTACAATATTTGTCAGTAAAATAGCTTCCATATTGTTATATGGTTCGGACATTTGGGGTTACACTTCTCGTGCATATATTGAAAAAAGAGTTTTTACTTTAAACGATATTTGTATAAGTATTTGTGCAGGCTGTTGTATATGGACAGTTATAGAAACATGTTATGACATGTTGAAATCACAAGATGAAAACGGCAGCCACAACTGGGTAACGCTTTTTCGTTTGCTGCTATTAAAAACTTGATTTACGTATGTTTGGGTCGCACAGGAGTGTGGCAGCATATCAAATTATATACAATGTTTAGTGAGTGAGTTGGGATTTTTAGTGATTTTGTTTCTTGCAATTTTTCGTAAAAAGCGACAACATGAGAAACTGACTTTGCTCAGATCTGAGAACAAGAGGGACTATTATAAGAATGACAGGCTCGTCATTTTTAGTACATGCCAGCTACTTCTCTGGAAGGTGATGAGCATCAGATGTCGCGATCGGCTCCATTCGCAGATCTCGACTCAAGTGGAACATCGTCAACTGTGGATCAGGAGCGGGTGCTGCCGTCAAGGTCGAAGGTTATGCAAAAGCATATCTAACATTGCAAGGAATATGGAAGATTTAACCAACGAACTGTCCGACATTGGCTTTGTTTCTTTTGTGTCTGAAAATTGTTGCTTTATATGAAACATAGTCAATAGAAACTTACTTACTCCAGAATGTAAACATTTTTGTTTACAAGCCACAAAGGCCCAAGTTCGGAAGGTATTCGGGAGGAATACTTTTGATAAATTATTCACTGGTAAGATTTGTTATTGATGTTCGATACAGAGAACATGTTATTACTGTTCTGTTGGATAAAAGTATGTTTGGTTTCAGTAGAGCTACATTATGCTTTGTTCACATATATCAAACCGGAGAGATCGACCTGGTATGATAACAAAGATAGACAAAATGGGATAGAGATTTTGCTGGTTTTTTTTATTGAGTATATGTACACTGTAACAGTACCCAGCTGTTTCTATCATTGTACTTGGATTTGTTTGTTTGTTTGTTGTTTAACGCCGCACTAAGCAATATTCCAGCTATATGACGGCGGTCTGTAAATAATCGAGTCTGGACCAGACAATCCAGTGGTCGACACCATGAGCATCGATCCACGCATTTGGGACATGGTGACATGCATCAACCAAGTCAGCGAGTCTGACCACCCGATCCGAATCATAGTCGCCCTTTATGGCAAGAATGGGTTGCTGAAGACCTATTCACCGCGGATCTTCACGGGTCCATTGTACATGAACAGTAAAACCGGTGTGACGCGGGACTATGTGGAGAACGATGTTATTCACCATGTTGAAAGTAATAATTACCAAGTATATTTTTTTCCACAATTTTTCCACAATGGAAAGATATTCATGTGATAAATTAATGATTAACTTTGGAAAAACTCTTTTGGGAATGTGTTCACTTCTGAACATACATATTGTGAATGGAAGATTTGGAACTGACTATCAAATCGGTGACTGTACATTTATTGGGCTTTTAGTGAGTGAGTTGGGGTTTAACGCCGCTTTTAACAGTATTTGGTAACAACCACGAGCACGGGTATGGTGCTGACAAACGTAGCAACATAATCAGGGCGAACCGGGATTCGAACCTACAATCATAGGTTTGCTGGCGTGTCCAAGGGACACAACTCTGCACAGAGAATCGCGGCGCCTCAGACGACTGGGCCACCCGTGCCCCCTATTGGGCATTTAGGGTGTAGTGTGATAGATTATGGTTTAGCATCGAGTGACATGTTCCCCGATGATGATGAATGTCTCTTTAAGAAACATGAACGATGCCATTATTTAAATGCGTTCAGAAGAAACTAAAGATAACTTATACCTCATTAAGTATTACAAAGTTTACAATGAACACAGAAAACTGTGTTGAATCAAGAAAGAGTTTGCACAATATAAAATGAATGACCTAGAAATTGCAGAAGCTGTAGACTCTAAATGTTTGTCATAAAGCGTGTGTCTGGACGACCGCAACGACCCAACCCTATTGATATACAAGACTGGGGGGACTATTTCTCGTCGCTGAATTCTGAACCAATGGGTAGTCAGGATAATCTTGGTGAGGTGGAGGACAGAGTGACATGTCAAGGTTATGTGCAAGAACTGACAATTGACATATTAGAATCCCCAATCACCAGATCCGAACTTTTTGAAAGCATCAGTGCCAAGAAACATAATAAATCAACTGACCTTGACGACAGCTATGGAAGCCATTGTACAAACATGGTTTGAGTGCTAAAATGGGTAAAATATTATAATCCATGTACAGTAATGTAAAGGCTTGTGTTCGTTCAAACAACAGAGTATATTGTGTGAGGCAAGGGTGTATGCTTTGTCCCTTTTTGTCTTCAGTTTTTTTATGAACGAATTCGTTACTGAAATGGAACAAAATTGTCGTTTTGGTGTTAAGTTACTTTTGGAATTCATTTATATTTTTCTACCTCTATTTGCGGAAGACCTTATTGTGTTTGGCAATACTGTCAACAACGTACAAATGAAGTTGAATTCTTGCATGATGACTGTTGTAAATGGGAAATACCAGTCAATCTATCGAAAACAAAAATAGTTGTTTTTCAAAAAATAGGGGAGGTTTATCACGTTACGAAAAAATGGTATTATGGTGGAAATGTGTATAAAGTAGTTACTGGATACAGTTATCTTGGCTTGTATCGTAGCAATAGATTACTGAGGTCGAATGCTTAAATAATATTGCAATTCAGGTAAGAAAGGTGTTCATGGTCCTGTTAATTAGTATACATTCCTTGAAACCATCCTCGCCTCACTTTTACTTTAAATGTTTTGATACAAAGATAACACCAATACTTTTATACGGGGCAGAAATTTGGGGGTTCAGTGACATAGAACCGAGTCTGACAGGTGTTCTATTCAGTTGCTCGCTGTTTTGAAATGTGTCAAATATTGGCTGTCTCTGTATAATATGCGGGAATCTCGTTTACCCCCCAAAATGTTACAATATGTTGCGGTTGTACGATGAACAAGGCCACGTAAATTGGGTAACGAAACTTAAAGCTTTTATTTTCAGATTAGGATTTGGTGATGTCTGGTATTTTCAAACATGTGGTAATAAAACATCATTTTTAAATATGTTACGTCAGCGGTTGAAACTTTTTTTCAGGTTTGGCATAGTGATATCGATCTATGCGAAAGCCCCTAAATTGTTTATAATGCCCAGTTTAAAACATCCGTTTCATTTGACAACTATTTGAGTAGTATAACTGTAAATAAATTCAGGACCACATTGACTTGTTTTCGACTTAGGCAAAGTATTTACATCTTTCCAAATATTCTGAAGTTTAATACACTACTGTCATCGCAAGACCCTATTATCAATACCCTATGAATACAGAAAACTTCTTGTTTTACGCCAATGCTGTAAGAACACAAATATTCCAACTTTAATAATACGCAATAATGTTAAAACTGCTTTTTTTTTAAAAATGCAAAGGAATGTGTTTATTTTATAGTGTTTGCACCTAAATCGTATTTCGTTTGTACAAAATAAAGCCCGTGGCCTACAAGTACTGAATAAAGTGAAGACTAATTATTCGTAATGGAATATATTCTTCCTTCAACTGTGCGCGTTTTCTCAGGAACAAGAAAAAGCAGTGCCATGGAACTTGTGTGCGTAAACTGCACCTTTTATATTCCAACAACCTCTCAACAACGACAACCTGGTCGTTATTTACAGCTTTTCTTTATGGGTCATAACTGATGA